GAGCACCGATGCTTTAACCTCCTTCTCCATCCAACGGCTCCTAGAACACGAAAGGACGTTGATCTTTTTTTATTCCCCGACTAGCGAATGATGCTGCCGACCCCCAGATGAAGTATCCAGAACGTTTTGTACCGAAAGCCCTTAGAATTTGATGGATCGATACATACTGAACATGAGAAACTGGTAGTCTCATTGTAAAATCACTGTAAAAATCCTATTACCTCTGGGCGCATAATATTGGCGCCCCCCCCCCCCCCCCCCCTCTCCCTTTCCCCCCGCACCTTTTCTGCAGCCATGGGATAGTTATTTAGTCCCGAGTAAACCAGTATCTCCCTTCAAACATAGATGGCTTACATATATGACTGATAGGTAGGTATGTATGCATATCCATCTAATTCTCTCCCGCAACTAACCAGTCGGTTTACAGCCTCTTCCTCCACCCCCCTTTCTTATCCGCCTCAGCATTTTTAAATGGAAACCCAGACATCCTCTTATCCGCCCCAGTCCTGCTACTTATTCTTCCCGCACTATTAGCAAACAGCAAACACCAAAGACCCACCGCCGCCAACCCGCCATACACTGTCATAGCCAACGCAAAACTCGCTTGCCCCGTTGTATAGTACCAGGCATAAGTATAGAAGGCAGATGAGGCGTGGAAGATAGATGTCATGAGGATTGTAGGCATGGCGTACGGGGCTTTGGGATCGGATTCATCTGTTGTCATGGAGTAGGATGATGAGAGGGGTATTGAGCCTGTGAGGATGAAAGTGATGGCGCCGATGGTGAGGAGACTTAGGCCAAAACAGCGGGCAAAGTACATTTCCAGCACTGTTTAACGGTTAGATTTCCTAGAATAATTTCCCCCCCCCCCCCCCCCCCCCCCCCCGCGCCCAATTTTTTGAACCTTGCGCGGAGTATATATTGTGTCAGGCTTACCTGAGGGCGTTCGCGCTTCGTCCAGCAGGATCATAACGATCACCTTGGGCGTCGCGAAGAGCGGAATGCCCTGTAGACTTAACCATGCGCCCGTGGCGTATGTATATGTATAGAAAACCTGCCGATATATAGAAATGTATGTCAGTTATGTCCATTTTGGTTTTTAGATGTGTTAATAAAATGCCAACATACATCCATCCTGAGACGGGATATCGGAACCGAGTTGAAAGGAAATCTGCAATGGCGGCAGCGGGAGAGCTGCTTGTGATATGGGAATGATAATCAAACACTTTCAGCTTTCATCTGATCGCATCATCCTGGTAAGAAAGGAAGCAGGACATTATGGAGATATCGATTGTTAGCAAAGCTGTAATATAGTTAACTAGCTAAACATGCCCTAACTATGACATCATAGCTAATTACATGGAAGAGCTGTTCGGGATAGTGTGTTCAATGAAATTAATGGCTAAGATACGCATATATTTGCATCACACATCCATATATTGGAAACGGATTATGGGTAACAATCTCACTGGATTAATTAAGTCAAGCTTCCGAGAAACTCCTGACCTCTGTTGACCAGCATGCACGAATATTTGTGCTTTGCGTAACCTCCACAAGGTAACTAATTTGTTCAATGGGAGAACTGTAGAAATAGCAACCTTTGAGGGAAAAAAAAATTACCTCTATTACTCTATTATGATCGATTTCCATTTTCCACCCCATTATAATGAACTAAACATAATTGCCAAAATGACTTTCAAAGGTGGTTGGATTAACCACCTCTTTCAAATTGGTGTAAGCAGTATCGTAAACAACATTAGCGTTGCGATGAAGCTCAGCTTGCTGGAATGGATAAGGACACCGGATACTAAAAGAGCAAGAAAGCGTGATACATCAAGAAATGCAATCAGACTCGCCAGCCACGAAAGCAAAGAATACCCTTACCCAATATTGCTTGACCGTAGATATCTTGCAACATCTTGCTCCTGGTTTGAGGGCCTTGGTGCAGACTCTTCCAGCGCATGCTTATATCTCTCCTCAAGGCCACCATCATCTCCGAGACCCATGTCACCGTTACCAGGCTTCACGTCTTCATATTCATCCGGATCCTCTTCTTCTTCCGCTTCAGAAACAGTATCCGGCTCCTCGTTTTTCATTGACCCGCCCGCACCATCAGGGCGACTAGAACCAGAGACATTCATATCCTTAAGCAACTTCCCCAGTTCAACCTCCCTCCTCGCCTCCTTCGCCTCCTGCCTCTCTTTCATTTTCTTCTCCAACTCAGGCTTATAATCCCTCTCAAATTCCTTCCGCTTTTCCTCCACCGCCTCGAAGAACTCGTCGATCCCATCTCCTGTCATAGAACTGACCCCGACCAGACTCAAATGCCGATAAAATTCCTCCAGCATTAGACTCATACTATTCAAAAAAGAGCCCATATAGCCACTTCCCCCTCCCATTCCTACTACCCCACCTCCTTCCACACCGCCAAACGCGCCAGCCTCCTCTTCCTGACGTAGCGCAGCCTGAAATGCTTCGAAATCCGTCATCCACTCCTTCGCAAACTCCGCATCTTTCACATCCGTCTTATTGAATACCAAAACCATAGGTAATTTCGTCTTGTACAGAATACTGCATGCGTATAGCATATTGCTCATGAAGGTACTTGTCGCACTCGTCCGTGGGGTATCGATCACATATGCAATAACAGTCGGGAACGAAGAAGCCAGCGTTTCCAGTAAAATACTCCCCGACGCGCTCCACACAAATACCTCTATTTGTCCCGGCGTGTCGACGAGAATATGTTCAATGAGTCTCTGTGGCGGTGTCTGGCTCGGCTGTTCAGAATCCGAAGGCGGAAGCGTGCGTTTCTCTAGTATCGATATTACCTGGTCGATTTTGGTGGCGAAGAGGTTGAGCGAAGTGAGGATGCCGCCGTTGGGGCCTAGATTGTACTGCTTCATGACTTCTTTATAGTTTATTGAGTCCCGGATGTCAATGTTGCTTTCGAAGGGGACGGAGTGTACGGCTGGGTCGAGGTTGAGGACGTAGGGGGTCTTGTGTTTAGAGTGGAGATAGGAGTTTATACGCTGCATAAAGGTCGTCTTGCCAGATCCTGGAGAATTCGCTGTAGTTAGCATGTGTATAGAGTTAAATTATAAGAGGTTGGACCTTTTTTTTTTTTTTTTTTTTTTCTTTTGTTGGCGCATCGGTAATAGGATTGTCAGTCCTCACCAGCCATGCCGGACGCAGACGACTGGCGACAGGAGGCGCCATTGCTTTGTCGGCGGCTTTTCGTCCAGTAAAATTATTGATGTTGATATATTGATTAGAACAACGCGAGGAGGGTACTACGTTAGGTAGTTATTGTAGGAGGGCAGATTATACTTGAAAGTTGTTTGACTTCTTGATAAAAAGTTA